GCAGTAGGCGGCACGTGGCCGCTATCTAGAGTTCGAGAAGAGACGGGGGCCACCGTCGACGACGTGCGCCCCAGGTGTGGCGAGGGACCCGAAACACCGATGCACCGACGCTGGCTTTGTTCAAAAAGCTGTGGGCACAAGGTTCACGACGACTGTCAGTTTTCGGTTCCTCAGGCCCAGTCGGGCCAAGAAGCTGAACCATGCTTCTGGTTTAGGGGCCTCATCCCAAATCTGTGGACAAAGGTGCCCGACCCTTTTGAAGGTGAGTCTTGGCAGGTTTTTGCCAGGGACGGCAACCGCGGCGCCGACCGCGTGCTCGTCCAAGGCACAGTCGAGCAGCCTGTCTTTGCATTTGGGGATGCGAGTGGAGGAAAGGAGTCAAGGGATCCACGGCTTCGGCGGTGCGGTGTCGGCGTGTGTTCGCTGGCCAGCTACGATCCTCCTGTTGTGCATGGCGCTGTTTTTTGGAGCGCCCCCAGGGGTTCCCCAAACTGTTCTTCGTGGAGAGCTGTGGGGCCTCTCTCTTGCTTTGAAATATACCGATGGGCCTCTGATCGATGTTACGGATAATAGTGCGGTGGCGGGCGGATGGTACAATTGTTGTTGGAGGGAACCCCAGGGCTCCAATTCGCTCACCTGGAAACTCATCGGTGATCTCCTTCGAGAGCAACAGCGAAACGTTTCGCATGTCGTCGTTGTGCAGGTTCCGTCTCGCATCGATGCCGACTCTTTCGATTCCTGCGGATATCCAGAATCCCTTGTGTTTGGGAACACCACGGCAGATCATTTCGCTGGGGTGGCTGCTGACATGAATCGTATCGACGAGCACGTGCGCACAAGAGTGCAAAAAGTCGAGTTGGAAGCTTCGTTGGTCCGCAGGCGTCTCCTTCGTTCGACTCTGCAGGCCATTGTTGCTCGACCTTCCCAGACTTCGGCTCCTTCTGCCTGCCCTCCTCCTCCCCCTGCTCCTTCCACCGTCGCCTTTTTCGGGTCTTCCCATCGCCTCAGTGCTTGTGGGAAGAAGTGTGAACGGTGCAGAGGGAATGCCTCTCTGGACACTAGGACGGAATGGTTGCAGTCTGAGTGTTTCGATCTTGTGCATGTCAGCTCGCATGTGTCACGTCTGCCGAGGGGGTTTAAGGTTCATCTTGGGGGCGGTTGGATCCATCCCTCCCATTCGCCTCTTGACTCCCACCTGCTCCACACTTGGATCTGCTCTGATTGTGGTTTCTATGGGGCCGAGCAGCTCAGGAAGAATTTGCGCTCCGAGTGCCCCAAGAGCCTCACGGCCACAACTCGGAGATATCTGGGTAATTTTGTCACAGGCAAGCCGCTTAAGTCATAAGCGGCTGGGCGAGGCCATCCGTGCCTCTCCCCTTTCTTGATCCCTTCGGGAAGGAGCCAATCCAATCCAATCCAATCCAATCCAATCCAATCCAATCCTCCTCCTCGTCATCATCATCAGCAGCATCAGCATCATCACCATTGTCATTATCATCATCCTCCCCATCATCAGCATCATCGTCATCATCATCATCATCATCATCAACACCACCATCATCATCATCACCATCGCCACATCATCACCACCACCACCACCATCATCATCACCATCATCCGGGAGCTGATGTTCTCTTCAGACGCGGGGGTTATCATCACCATCAACAGCATCATCAGCATCAGCATCAGCATCATCAGCATCATCATCAGGACCGTATCATCATCACCATCACCATCATCAGCATGCCCGCGGAGGTGGCCTCCGGGGGCTTCGGCAAAGGCCCCCCGATGGCCTCCGAGGGCATCTTCCCGCCGCCTGCTCGTCAGCCCCAGAGTCGTTCGTTTCGCCGAGTCTTATATCCAGATGCCCAGAATGCTCCGTAGACGAGCTGAACAGTACCAGCCGGTCGTTGCAAGTAGGTATTTTTGGATGCCCAAATCCTAATCTATTGTAGGCGCCTTCCTACTCCAGGAGTCGAGCGGTTTTCCTTGTTTCCTCCTCTTCAGGGGGCGGGTGGAAGCCCAATCTATCTCCAACGCCTTCTTACTTCATGTTTCGACCCACTTCTTCCGACCGGCGTGTATGATGGGTTCGACGGGAGAATCAACTGTGGCGCACGAGGCTCGAGTCGGTGGTCGATGCCCTGCTCGTGCTCGGCAGGAGATGATGCGGACCGTCGGGGAGAAGCTGCTCAGCTTCCTGCACTGACGCCCGGGGCTGCGCGGCGTGGGGTGCGGGAGGGCCGGGGCGAAGCGCGCGCGCGCGGCGCGGCGGGGGAGGCTCGGGGGCCGACGGTCGGGAGCAGAGTCGCCGTGCACGAGCCGACGGAGGGGTCGGGGACCCTGACCTTCCAGGAGGGCTAAGAAATAGCACCAGGGCATCGACGTCCTGATTCCTGCCGAGGTTTGAGGCGGTCCAGATGGGCCTACAGGTCTGGAGTGTTAGTTTTTAGCACTTTGGAAGGTCAGGGGAGGCGCACCCCTCGAAAAAGAACAGACGCCATGAACATAAACTTTTGGCGCTCCGCGCGGACTTCTTGGATCCGCGTTGGGCCCCCACCCCGGCGGCGCCTCCGGCGCAGGCCCCCGGCGCGCTCCCAGGGAGGGGGGTCCAGCGCGGATCCAAGAAATCTGCGCGGACTGCCAAAAGTATACTTTTCATCGCTCGGACGTGTGCATTTTTTCTCGGCGAGGACCATCGAGGAGCATCTTTGATCATTCAGCGAAACAAAACACGCGCGAAATCGAAAAATGCACGGGGAATGGACGTCCGAGCGATGGCGAGTATATACTCATGGCGTTCGTCCTCCTTCTTCTTCTCTCTCTGTCGGCCGCGCCGTGAGGCAGCGGCCGGCAGAGGGCGCGGGGAGCCTGCGCCCAGGCCCTCTCTGGCCATGCAGGGACGGGTCCAGCAGGGGATCGGCTTCAGAATCGACGTGCCCCAGGATGTATTGGTTCGTCGAACTCAGGGAAGAATTTACAACGGCTGTCGAATCTGCTGTCTTTCAATCCCAGGACATTCCGAGGGTCGGGGACGATGTCGGGGTGGTGTGGTGTATATTTGTTTCGTCGATAGTTGGGGGGGAACGACGAAGCATATATACACCAGGACCCCGTGTACACAAGGACCCGCTTTTCTGCGCAACTGTGTCAGCGCGGGGCCAGAAAACGCGTCGGTGTACAGAGTTCGGTCCCATACATGGGGGTCGGCGTTCCAAGATCTCCATGCTTCTGGGGTCTCCCGCTGCTCCGGCACGGGCTCCCGGCGCGGGCAGCCTGATGCTCCGTGATGCGGGCGGCGCATCTTGGGCGACTCGCAGCATGATTTTGTTCTCGTTCTGCGTGGGGAGGCCAAACTGGTCCTAGAACCCATCAAGCAGTGGCGAAGCGTCCTGGCTTGATTATGGGCCCACGGAAGAATGTTCTAAGAACCTCTTGCGGTTTCCACGATCTGTTCTTAAAGCATTATGGCCGAGACCGTCTTGTTTTAATACATCCGGCTTTATGTTCTGAAAATATGTGTGGGTTTCTTAGAGCATGTTGTTTTCGTGATAGGCCTAATTCTAGGCATGCCGGGGCGGTCGTTCCCTGCAAAACTGGGGCTCTCCTCAATTCGAAGGAAAACAAAAAGCCGCAAACAGAGTTTTGTTGGCGCTCCGCGCGGACTTCTTGGACCGGCGCCCGGGTCCCCCCGGCGGCGCCTCCGGCGCAGGCCCCTGGCGCGCTCCGCGCGCCAGGGAGGGGCGCCCAGCGCGGATCCAAGAGATTCGCGCGGACCTCTCAAAGTTTCTGTTCATGCTGTTTTTTTTTTCCTCCATTGATGCCCCCTCTTCATCCCGAGACGTCTTCTGGTCGCCCAGGGGCCTGTGGAGGGCCCGGGGGGCCTGAAGTTCCTGGACCGCCCTCCGCCCTCCCCCCCTCGTCGGGAGGGCGGATGGACAGAGTGGGGAAGTAGAAAAGAGGGGAAAAGAGGGGGAGAGTAGCAAGGGGAGGAGGAGGGGGAGGAGGAGGAGGAGGAGGAGGAGGAGGAGGAGGAGGAGGAGGAGGAGGAGGAGGGAGGGGGGGAGGAGGAGGAGAAGGAGGAGGAGGAGGAGGAGGGGGGAGGAGATGGAGGAGTGAGGGAGGGGGCAAGCTAGGTGCGCTCGCGCAACATCTGACATCTTATCCCTCCCTCACGTCCCTTCCCATTGCGTTTTGTTTCTCTCCAACAGCGGTCGCGTGTCATAGCCGACCTGAAACTCCAACATAACGGCCCGTCTTGTGATGCGCAATCGGAAAGAGGGGAGCTGCGTACATATGAGCAAGGGAAACAGGAGGAGGAGGAGGAAGGATGAGGAGGAAGGAGGAGGAGGAGTAGGACTAGGAGAAGGGTGAGGGGGAGGATGAACAAGCAGAAACACAGGAGGATGTGGAAGGAGAGGGGCGAGGATGACTAGCAGTAGCGGGAATTGGAGTGGAAGGAATGGGAGGAGCAGGTGGGAAGGAATGGGAATGAGAGGGGCTACAGCGATGAAAATGGACTCGGATCCAGAAAAATGGCCCACGCTGGGGCGAGAAGGCCATCCTGAACGACGGGAGCAAAACGCCAACCCGAAATTGAGGCCCATGCTGCAGCGGGAGAAACATGCTGAACTAGCGAGAGCAATCGGATTGTAAAGCACCGTCGAAGACCACCAACTTGTGAAATCCCGTGCGTTGGAAACAGTATGAGGGGAGGGCGGGACATCTTCCGCGCAGAGTCAGGGGTGAGAGGGGAGTACAGTCCATAATGTGTAAGGATGGAGGGGGATAGACCTCACTCTCCCCCCTCGGAGGTGGATAGACCTCCTACCCTGACACGTCGATTGAGAAATTGGCCGTTTTCGGTTCGCGAGAGGGCGTCGCGACCGTCATGTTCCGGGTCCAGGTCCGTCGGTTTCGGTCCCAGGCCGTTTTCACTAAGGGGAGGTTTACTAAAGGGAGGTTTATCCACCGCCGACCCCCCCCCTCTCTCCCAAGAGGCCGCTGCTGGAGGACCCGTCGCTGCGGCCCACCCGCGAGATGGCCGCCGCGACCACGGCCAAGCTGCTGGAGCTGCTGCGCGTGCGCCGCTCCACGCCGCTGATAGGGCTGTGGGACGCCGCGGATGTGCTGGAGAAGGCCCCGGGTCAGAGCCCCGAATCATCAGGGGTAACTCGGGTCAGGGCTAACTCGGGTTCGTTTGTCGGGAATCCGAATCCGAGTTACCCCGGACCCGAGTTACCCCAGATAATTCGGGCGTCCAGAGCCCCAAATCATCAGGGGCAACTCGGGTCAGAGCTAACTCGGGTTCCTTTTTCGGGAATCCAAACCCGAGTTACCCCAGACCCGAGTTATCCCGGATAACTCGGGCGCCCAACCGGGGCAGCGGCAGGCGGGGGTGTCGGCTCCGGGGGGGAGAAAAGCCCGGGTTCGAGGCGCCAGGGTTTCTGGCGTTCTCGGCGGGGCTCGGCCGCGGGAGGCGAGCCTCGGGGTGCGCTCCAGGCGCTGGGGCCTCGCCGAGGGCGTTCTCCCTGGGTGCCCGGATCGCCGCGAGAGGCCGTCGGGGGGGAGAGCAGCCATATGGCAGGGCTGGGCCTAAGCGGTGTTTTTGGCGATCTCGTGGGCCGTTTTCGTTTCGATCTCGTTGTGCGGGAAAGGCGGATTCGAGACAAGAGCGAGGGAAAACGAGAACAAAACGAAAACGGAAAACACCGTTTAGGTTCAGCCCTGGTATATGGCCCCCGAGAACAAGGGGCAACGGTGGGGCGGGGGGTAGGCACAGGGAGCAGGATGAATCCACCCTCATCGGACGGGCCTGGAATCGGTGTGCATCCGTTCCAGAGCGTTCTGGTTCGCTCTCAGAGCGGTCCGTAACGCTCTGAGGCGCCTGCGGCGCCCGATACATCCTCCAAGCCCGCCGGTTTTCACAGATTCTCTGTTCATCAGACTGAGGGGCCAACGGTCGTTCTCTGTCCATGGGTGCGAGGGTGAGATGGGCTTCCACGGTGCGGTTTGTTGTTGAATCTTCACTTCTGAAGAATAATTATTGTTGATCGCCCCCCTCTGGCAACCATCATTTTTCAATTGAAGCGCTTATCCCGGGGCTTGCACCCGAGGGGTCACCAAACTGGGCCCCTGGCCCCCGACTTACAACAACAATGGCTCCTGCTCTCGCGCGCTCTCGCGCGGGGCGTCCCCATAATTTATCCAGGAATCGCGCTCTCGCGTGGGACTTTGTGCAATTTATGAAGACGCCGCGCCCTCGACACTCAGGAGTCAAGCTCTCGCTTTGAATTTCTGTTCGATTTATTTGGGAATCGCGCTATTGCTTGAGACTTCCTCGCGATTCATTCAGGGCGCACGCTTCAGCAACCCGCTCGCCCCTTGTTCCTTCCTTCCATCCGTCCTCTCTTCCCCTGCCTGCGGAGCTGCACCTAATACACGTTGCAGGTAAGAGAGATCTACCCCTAAGGGGGAACGATCGCAGACGAGGAGGGCGGGTATCGAGGGTGTGGGATATACGTGTTTCATGGCACGCGATTAGATAATAGCGAACAGTCTCAAAATGAGTTTTGTTGTTGTTGTTTGTGTTTTTGTTGTTGTTTATGTTGTCGTTGTTGTTGTTGAATATTTTTTGATCTCCGGAAACGGTTCCGCGCGCTCTCGCCTCGACGCCGGCTACATTTTCTTTGAAAACGAAGCTCCCGCGCGAGCGTTGGCTCAATTGTAAAAGTGGGCCCTTGGTGGCCCAGCTACGACGACAACGGCTCCCGCTCGATACTTCCTCACAATCTACCCCGAGACACCCTGGCCAGAGAGGCCCCCGAGCTCAGGACCGGCGCTCTCGCTCGAGACTTTCTCGCAATTCAGGCAAGTTGGCTGAGACCCAGCCACGACGACAAGGGCTCCTCCTCGATAATTCCTCACGATTTTCTCCGAGAGCCCCGGGCCAGGAAGGCCCCCGAACTCAGGAACGGAGCTCTCGTTCGAGACTTTCTCGCGATTCAACCAAATTGGTTGAGGCCCAACTACGACGACAAGGGCTCTCGTTCGATACCCCCTCAAAATGTATTCTCAGAGGCCCTTGCCAGAGAGGCCCCCCAACTCAAAAGTGGCGCTCTCGCTCGAGATGTTCGCGCAAATCTGGCAAGTTGGTGGAGGCCCAGACACGGCGACAAGGTTTCCCGCCCGAGAGTTATCAATTTGTACTTCGAGAGCCCCTGGCCTGGCCAGAGAGGCCCCCGAACTCAGGAACGGCGGTCTCGCTCAAGAGTTCCTCGCGCTTCAGTCAGTGGCCAACAAGGAAATACTCCCCCCGAAAGGGCGTGCGATCGAAGACGAAGTGGGCGGGTATCGAGGGTCGGGGTATACAGAACGCAAAACACGCGTGTCAGTAATAGCGAACAGTTTTAAGATTATGATGACGATTGTTGTTGTTGTCGTTGGTGTTGTTATTGTTGTTGTTGTCGTTGTTGTTGTTGATGATCTTGTTGTTGAACGTAGAACCGACGTAAATTTCATATCGCCCACCGTGCCGTGTCCGACGTTTCGCCTGAGCGGGCGGAACCATCGCCCCACTATCTCCAAACATGACTGTTTGCGTGTCACGGAGGTGGGGCCGGCGCCTTCTTAGAAGCGGGCTCTTGCTGAGAAGTCTTCCCGCCCCTTCCTCCCAAACCCCTCTGTGCGAGCCGTGAGGTGGGGTGCCCTGCGGTCGGGACCTGCTGTTGGATGGCGTGTCGCTCCGCCTGTTCCAGCTTCGGCGCGGCACGCAGTCCACTTCCCTACCCCCCAGCGTCACTTGGTTGTCCCCAAACGTGGTGGTGAGAACACCCGGTGGTGAGTTTTGGGCGATTTGGGTAATGGTTTTCGAGCGCTGGCTGGCCCAGGAAACGCAAAACCTCGTGGCGACCGCGTGTCCCCAAACCCGGTGGTGACCCAGAATTATTTTTTGGGGGAATCGGGGTCACCACGGGGTGTCTCACCACCTGGTTTGGAGACCACCAAGTCACCGCCCCGAGTTCTCCCCGGCCTCCCGCCCCGCGGAGAGGAGCGACACGCTGTCCGCGCGCGTGTCACGCCGTGTGGGCACGCGGGTCGCCGCCGCGTCGCGCTAGCGACACGAGCTCCCGATCGTAGATGTCGTTTCCCCTCGAGCTCGGCTGTCCGCCCAGAGATCCAGCGTATTGAAAAAAATCAAGACGGAAGTTTTTCGCAATTTTCGGCCTCAAGGGGCCCTCGCCGGGCTGCGGGACCGTCAAAAAACGACTCAGTATGAAAGACCGGTCCTGGAGGATGGGTCGAGACCTCCGGGGGCCCCGCATTGAAAAAATCACGACGTCGGATCTCTGAGGAGTGGCCTTGCGCGGCTTTCGGGGGGCGCCGCGGGGCCACGCCTGCGCACGCAGGCCGCCACTGCCGCACCGCACGCGGCGGCTGGCAAGCAGCGCACCGGAAGCCACGCACAGAGTCTCCCTCGTGTGCAGCCGGCGAGGTGACCTTCCCCTGCTGCGGGCCGTCCCAGCCGCCCGGCGTCGTCGTCATGCAGACGCGCAACGGGCCGCCAGCGGGGGCCGCCGCCGGCGCGGCCGGGACCCTGTGCCCGAACCTGGCGCGGGTGGTCGTGGTGCTGTCGGCCCGCCTCGAGGAGTGCCGCGTGCCGGTGTGCCCACCGGGTGGCGGGGGCCTGCGGCTGCACCCGCTGCAGGCCGCCTCGGAGGACGCCCGGACGCGCACGGCGCGCTTCGACTCGGAGACGGGCGAGGTGGTCAGATAGTAAACCACGGAAGTTTTTGCTCGTCTTGGATGGAATGTATATCGGCGGATATCCGATATCCCCTAATAGCGTCCAGTTGCGCCGAATAGCGCTCGAATAGCGCTCGCATTGCGCCCAATAGCCACCAATGGCGCCCAATAGGGCCATGTGAAGGAGATGCAGTACAGTCAACCCGAATAGGAAGGATGGGCAACCTTCCCAAGGGCCCACGGGTATACCCTAGCATCCTTGCCTCCTCGGTCCATTCATTCTTCGCCACTTTCGTTGGCCGCGCCCCGCTAGAAAAAAGCTTCGAAATGGCCGCCCAAGGCCCTTGCATCCTTACCGCGCGTCCTTCTGATACGAGCTGGCTGTCTTCCTGGCGCGGGATTGGGCGCGCCACGTGGTGGCAGCCAAAGCCTTCCGTGAGTTGCTTTCTCTGAAAGAGGTGGTGGTGCCGGCTCCTCCGGGGGGCGGGCGGCAACGGCCGAGGGATCGAGGGCCATTCAGTGACGCGCCGAGGGGGGGGGAAGGTTTCTTAAGAGTACGGTGGAGGCCCATGCCAAGAAACACCATTCAGGAGGGACAAACAACACACAGACACAATCAATCGTCGATCCCCAGGAAAATATGGGAAAATATGGGAAGTGGGGGGGAAGACGAAAACCCAGAAAATATGGGAAAACATTGGGAATCATGTTATTTGTGTGCATTTATTTGTGTGTCCCAGGGCCCCTTGAACCATGCTCGCCTCCAGGGTGCCCAGGGTTGCTAGGGTCTCGGTGGTTCTGCGATGGAAGGCGTGGCGGTCCCACGCAAAAAATCAATGGACGTCCTGGGGTCTCAGGGTTGGGTTTCTGGTGGAAGGTTTCCTCTGTTCGGGCCCCCACTGCATGCTGTTTCTCTTGAGCGCGCGGGCCGCATCACGGATGGTGTGCCGGCGCTTTCTAAGAAGCAGGTTTTTTTTTCCGAGAGGCCCTCCCCTTTCTTGGCATCGCTCGGACGTGTGCATGTTTTCCTCGGCGAGGACCATGGAGGAGCATCCTGGGTGACTTAGCGAAAGAAGCACGCACGACATCGAAAAACACGAGGAATGGACGTCCGAGCGATGGCAAGCCTTCCCCCTACCCCCTGGTGCGCCTGGCCGAGAAGCACAATCGGGTCCTGCGGGAAGCGAGTCCGCAGTTTTCTTCGCGCTGCGTTCGGGCCTCCGCGGGGCCCTCCACGGGCCCCCCGCGGGGGCCTGAAGACGGCCCAGGGCCAGGCGCTGGTGCTGTTGGGGGGCCCCCAGCCTCCGGGACCCGTTGGGGCCCGAACCTCTCCGGACCCGCCTGTTTCTTCCTGAGACTACGTCGGGCACGTCCCTTTACAGGAGGAAGATTCAAGAGTGGTGCAGAAATAAGTCGGGGACGATTTGTTCTACTCTTGTTTGACTACTCTAGGCTATCCTTTTATTCGTCGTCCAACATCCGCCCGTGGGAGGACATGCCCGACCTAAGCCTAACGGGAAGCGGCACAAGCGTAAAAATTCTCGAGGGTCCACGCGGCCCCTCCCCCCTGGTCACCATCCACCAGACCACCCCAACCCAACCCGAAGGCTCAAATTTACCCTCGATTTCCAGTGGGGGGGTGTCGGGAAACGTCGAAACAACACATGTGGAACCCTTACCCCCCCAACCCGAAATTCGGGTCTTCGGGTTGGGTTGGGGTGGTCTGGTAGGTAGTCACCTGGTCCAGCATGGGGCGCGGCCCTCCCGGGGCGCGCCCCGCGCGCCATGCGAGGAGTGGAGGGGGGGGGGTCCAGCGCCGCCCCGAGAGCTCTTGCGCGGACCCCTCTGGCAGTTTGCGCATGCTTGGCGCATTGCCTTGGCATCGCTCGGACGTGTGCATTTTTCCTTCGGCGAGGACCATCGAGGAGCATCCTTGATCATTTGGCAAAAAAAAGAAAAAAACACGCACGAAACCCAAAAAATACACAGTGAATGGACGTCCGAGCGATGGCCAGGTGCTGCTTCTTGTTCTGCTCGTCCTCCTCCTCCTTCCAGGCTCAGGCTGCCGCCGTGTTCGTGGAGCCGCTGCCCGGCAGGGAGGGCTGGCTCGGCGATGGCGGAGGACGCTGCGCGCGCCTGCCGCGCCCTCCAAATTGTGCTGCTCGGCGCTCCCTAGGTTCCCCTCGCCCTCCGCCCAGCACAGCACTCCTCTCTCTGCCTGTCTCTTTGTCTCGATGCTTCGCTCTCTCTCTCTCTCTCTCTCTCTATTTTCCATATGTCTAGTGACTGGCGACATTCGGCCTGTTCCGCCACCGCACCTCTGGTCGTGGGCCGGAGGCCTCGTGGGAATCTCTCCGGGCCCGGGGGTCCTCACAGAGCACTCACCATGCTCAGCGGACAGGGGTCGACGGCAGAGGATACTCCACTGAGTGCCTCGCGGCACGGGGGCGATACGTCTTTTGGGGCGTCCCAGAGGTGGGTGGTGACTGATGATTGGGGGGGGGTCATGGACAGGGTCATGATGTCTTCCGGGATTTCTTGGCGCCCTCTTCTCTCAGTTTATACGTCCACTGCCCCCCCCCTCCTCGTCCGCGCACACGCCTCCGGCCATGATCTGCGTACCTCTTTCCTTAGACGCCCCCCTCCTGGGACGCCCAGATTCTCTCGGAGGCCCCCCTCTCGGACGCCCCCGATATCTGTCGGGAGGAGAGCAACACACAGACACAAGGAATCTCCAATCCCCAGGAAAATACAGGAAAATATAGGAAGTGTGGGGGGGGGAGACAAACAAAAGCACATAAAATATTTGAGAATATAGGGAATCAGGTTCTTTGTGTCTATTTATTTGTATGTCCCAGGGCCCCTTCAATCTGAGAGTAAGGGGTGGTATCCCTTGCCGCTCGCCCATTCTTTCCACATGGCCCCCCTCCCACCCCACCTGCGTGTGCCACGGAGGCGTGTGCGTAGTTACGCGCGTTCCGCACGCCTGCCGCCTGGTGAGCGCCTCTGCCCGAATACGTGGTCGCACTTTTTTGGCATCTGGGCGTGTCGGTGCCCGCACGAGTTCCCGGCACCTGTCTCGAAGCGTTTGCGCGTGATTGTGGTCTCCGAAGGTCCCATGTTTTATTTTTCTAAGTAACTTCTCTGGAACTACACATGGGGCATATGCATTGGGTTGCAGCGGGCGCGGGGCTTGTTGTTATGTAGGCTAGGTTGGCATGTATTCCACGTTGCGTGTCTATGGCACGCAGCAGTTCATGCTAGAGCATAACGAACATTGCGAAATTCAATCGACTCTGGGTTGACAGATGCGCCGTGGTGCGTGCGGGCAGTCTTCTCCAGCGTACGCTTTCCTTGTCTTGCACGGCACTTCCTGTAATTATGTGGTCCCAGTCATTCAATTCTCCCCCCTTGGTTCTTTTCTGATCTGGTGAGCTGGAGGAGGAGTCGATCGTAGTCCTCCGATGATCAAGCCTACTTGGGCCTCGCGGTCCAGTTTCGGTCTGTTAGCGGCTCGTTGTTGATGTGTCTGGGTCATGCAGACAGTCACGACCCCCGACGGCTTGGACGAGAGAGAGAGAGAGAAAAGCAAACAGAGACAGAGAGCAATGCAGAGGCGAAGAAAGAACATGGTAACGAGGAGGAGGACGGAGGAGGAGAAGGAGGAGGAGGAGGAGGAGAAGGAGGAGGAGGAGGAGAGGAGAGGGAGGAGGAGGAGCAGGAGGAGGAGGAGGAGGAGGTGGAGGTGGAGGAGGAGGAGGGGAGGGAGGAGGAGGAGGAGGGAGGGGTGGAGGGAGGGGAGGAGGTGGAGGAGGAGGTGGAGGAGGCGGAGGAGGAGGAGTCGCAGGAGGAGGAGCAGGAGGCGGAGGCGGAGCACGAGAAGCGGGTGGTGTGTCGGGGGAGCCCCGCGGTGGGGGCAGCGGGGAGCGGAGAGCGGCCCCCAGCGCGGGGCGTGTGGAGGGTGCGCGGCAGCACGGCGGCAGGACGGCCGCACGAGCACTCCCGCGAGGTCCAATCGTCAGAGCGTGAATTACCTACCCCGCTTTCGCTTCCAGGCAAAACCAAGTCATACCACGCGCCTCCTCGGCAAGCGGCCTGACCAGTACAGGCCGTAGGCATCGCTTGGTATCTCTTGGAAGCGAGGGTGGTCAAAAGCGAGGTAGGTTAGTTTGCCCCCTAAATCGGGCCGAACGAGAGGGGGGGGGCATAGGGAAAGGGGCCCAGAGATCCAGCGTATTGACAAAATCAGGGCGGAGGTTTTTCGCAAGTTTCGGCCTCCAGGGGGGCCCTCGCCGGGCCCCGGGGCCGTCAGAAAACGACTCAGGACGAAGAACCGGTCCTGGAGGATGGGTCGAGACCTCCGGGGACCCTGCATTGAAAAAATCACGACGTCGGCTCTCTGGGGGGGGGTCACGAAATCTGCTGCGTGCAGCTTGTTTCGGCCCCGCCGCCGGGCCCATTCCTCGATACATGGGCGCCTCCCGGCGCCAGGAGGCGCCAGGAAAAAAAACCTCTCTGCTGTCCCCCCCTTTCGCCCAGCCCGATCCAAGTGCACGGCTCGTTTAAATTCCTCCGATTCGATTCGATTCGATTTCGATGGCTTCCGATCCCGATTCGATTCGACTCGGGATTCCCATGTGGGTTCCGGATTCTTTCTTGGAGGCATACCAGCCTGCAGATGTCCGCCGATTCGACTCCTCCCGACTTGGACTTGGCTGCCGATTTCCGCCGATCCGATGAACATCGATCGCCGCTCCGACTTGTCGATTCGATTATGTGCTCTTCTGCAAGTGCACATGGGGCGCTGCAAAAAGGGCCTCGCCTTCGAGGATTGAATGAGTTGCCATCTCTTCCTCGGCGGAAGGTGGCGGAAAACCAGCGGTTGGCCGGCGGAAACAAAACGAGGCCGCATCCACCAGCGGAAGTTGGCGGAAGGCCGGCGGAAGGCGGCGGAAGTAAAAGATGCCCCCCAAAAGATGGATACGTTTTTGGGTTCAGGGTTTCCGAAGTCGCCTACATGTACGCTGCTCCTGGCCCGGCCCATCCTGGGTCCAGGAGCGGTGTATATGCCTCATGGCCCATCTTTGGACGGTCGTGGGGCCCTTTTGGCCGTCTTCGACGCTGCCAGCACGAACAATGCGAGTATGCTAGATATGTCCTGTTCTTCGAGAGATGGGGCAATCTCTGCTGATAGGGCATCTCTCGGCGGTTCTCTGGAGGCACTCTTGGGCCGTCCTGGGGGCCTCGTGGGCCGTCTCGACGCCATCCCGGACCGTCGTGGGGCTACCCTGGGCCGTCTCGAGCTCTTTGGGACTGTCTCAGCGCTCTGTGACGGCCCTCTTGGGCTGTCTGGCGGCTCTTGCTTGGGAGGCTCCGTTGATCCCAGGGGGGCGTTGGGGAGCCCGGAGACGCCCCCCCCCGCCTGATCGGATTTTGGACCCTGGGGGAAGGGAAAAGGGTCGGCGGCGAGCGAGGGGGGAAGCGAGAAGGAGAAGGCCTTCTCAGAAGGCGGCGGGGCTTCTCAGAAGCTCTCGCGCCTTCTGAGAGGTTTTCTGAGTCTTCGGCGAAGGCTCGGAACACTCCTCAGAAGGCCGGGGGACTCCGAGCCTGCTGAGAAGGCCTTCTCCTTCCCACTTCCCCCCAGGCGCGCCGCCTGAAGGGGGAGTCGGGGGTGGACAGAACCCCCAACAGTGACACGTCGATTAGTGACTTGGTGACTTGTTCGTTTTCGGTTCTCGAGAGGGCGCCGTGGCCGTTCTTGTCCAGGCTTGCGCCCGCCAGGTTTGGGCCTCAGTTCGCTTTCACTGAACCACGTTTTACTCTAAAGGCAGGTGCGTCCATCCCCGAGGGAGGGGGACAGCTACCCTGACCTTCCAGAGTGCTAGAAAAAACACTCCAGACCTACAGATCTATATGGACTGCCTCAAACCTCGACAGGAATTAGGACGTCGACGTCCTGGTGCTGTATTTTTTAGCCCTCCTGGAAGGTCAGGGTAACTGCCTCACGCGCCCTGTCACCCCCGGCAGAAAGGGGGGGGGGGGTCGGCGGCTCCGTGGGCTCCCGGGCCCCCCTTCCCTGACCTTCCAGGAGGGCCAACAAATAGCACCAGGACGTCGACGTCCTAAATTCCTGTCGAGGTTTGAGGCCGTGCAGATCGATCTACGGGTCTGGAGTGCAATTTTTTAAGCACTCTGGAAGGTCAGGGGTAACTACCTCACACGCCCTTGTCACCCCCAGCAGAAAGGGGATGGGGGGGGGTCGGCGGCTCCGTGGGCTCCCGGGGGCCCCCCCTTCCTTCGCTGGCGCGCGTGGCTCTTGGGAGCCGGCGGGGGTGCCCGCGCCGCCCCTCCAAGAACAGGGCGCGGCTCCCCCGAGCCTGTACCTCGCAGCAGTGTTGCGCCTCATCTTCTGCTTCGCAGTCGCGTTGCGCTCAGCTGCCTGCTTCGCACTCGCGGGGTGCTCCGCGTGCCCGCTCTCTGTTGCGGATTGTCTGAAGAGTCGCCAGTCGCGCGCTCTTCCGCCCACGCGCCCCGCAGGATGCACGGTTTCCTGGTGGTGGTCCCCCGAGGCTGGCCCGCTGTCCCAGTCAAGGGAGGGAAAACCACCCGCCCCCCCCAAAAAGGCGTATACTAAAAATGGCCCTGGGCGATCACTGAACAGCCCGGCCCTGTTTGATAGCTTCTGTGGGCGCGTTGTCAGAGCCCTGAACACAACGGCGTTTCCTAAGTGGCCCTGGGCGTTCTCTGCACAGCCCTGCCCTGTTCGCCACCTCCTGTGGGCGCGTTTGCAAGACGGCCGCGCGCGTGCCGGGGTGATTCGGATGCGCGGTGGCTGCTATCTGCCCTCCGCTCAGACAGACGCCCCTCCCGGGGGGGGGGGAGCTCTGCCAGCCAGGGGCCCTGCGGCATCCGCCTGCGCGGGAGCGCCGCCGCGGCCACGAGGGGAGGTGCCGCCGACCGCGAGCCCCGGCCAGCGCCGCGGCCGAGCTCCGACGCCTCGTCCTCGCCACCCACCAAACCACCCCAACCCGACCCGAAGGCTCAGATTTACCCTCGATTTCTAGTGGGGGGGGGTTCGGGAAACATCGAAAAAACACGCGTGGAACCCTTCCCCCCCCCACCCGAAATTCAAGTCTTCGGGTTGGGTTGGGGTGGTCTGGTAGGTAGTCACGTCCTCCGGGTCCTCGCTGGCGCCGGCCTCCGCCCTCTCGTTGCCCGCGCCAGCTCTTCTTTGGCTCGGGCCCTCGTCCAGCGCGGCCCCCTCCGCGTCTATAGCCGGGGCCCTCGGCCGCCGGTGTTTCTCTTCCTCCTGCTCCCCTGACCTTCCAGGAGGGCTAAAACAAATAGCACAAGGACGTCGACGTCCCAATTCCTGTCGGGGTTTGAGGCAGTCCAGATCTACAGGTCTGGAGTGCTATTTTCTAGCACTCTGGAAGGTCAGGGTCTGCGTCCTCCGCCTCCTCCGCCTTTCGGGTGTTTCTTGAAGGTCCCCGGGGCCGAGGTGCCCCCACGGTCTGGGCCCTCTCGCAGGCAGCCGCGAGGCGCGATCGAGCAGACCGCGAAGCGTCGCAAGTGGTAGCGTCAAGTCGGGCCTGTCCCTCTACAGGGGGGATATTCAAAAATATTTAAAGAATGATATGGGGACAACTTTTTGATCATTTGTGCGCATGTTTGGAGCAATTTCGGGGTATCTTTAATTTGTCGCGCAAGATCCCCCCGTAGGGGGACAGGCCCGACTTCATGGTAGCGTTTCCCAAATCAGCCCCCTGCGGCGCAGCCGCGCGTCCGCTGGAGTTGGCGGTCGCTCGCGACGCCCCCCGTCCCCAAAAGCGCCACCCCGCGACGACAGCTTCGAGGCCCAATGTTCCCCGCATGCCGAGCAATTCGACAAAGGAAGACTCAGGAGGAAAAGAAACACACATACACAATTCATCCTCGATTCCCTAGGAAAGATGGGAAAATATGGGAAGTGGGGGGGAAAACAGACACCCAGAAAATATGGAAAAATATGGGGAATATGTTTATTTGTGTGTATTTATTTGTGTGTCCTGGGGCCCCGTCAAAGACTGCGTGAACGCCAAGGGGAACCGAGCGTGGGCGCACGGCGCGATTCACTCTGCGTGGCGATGCGTAGTGTTATGCGTCACCGCTGGAAGCATCCGCCCGGTCGCAGTGAAGCCCACCGTCGAGCCGCACGACGCAGCAGCTGAAAAAACAAGGCCTCCTCCGTCGCCTTCTCCTCCTGCCCCTCGCCCTCTGCCTTCTCAAGTCCCCTTCCTTCTAAACAGCTGTTCCCTGTTGCACCCCGTGGTCAGTCAGATGGGTGGTCCGGGCGTTTTGCCTGAGACATCCTTACCATTTATGATCCGGAAGCTTAGAACTCGACAGCAGCTTCACAGATGGAGGGCAGATGGTTTGCAAACATTTCACTGCTTGAATGCGGGTGGTTTTCATCATGTGCCTTTCGCCGTAGCGCCGCGCACAGTTGTGCTGAACTCTGCAAGAGCTTCACCGATTCAGGGCGGGTGATTGTTAAATTGTGGTTTCTCGCCTCGGCGCCGCGCACATTCGTTGCAAAATGTTGCAAGAGGTTCATGGATTGCGGGTCATTTTCAAAATGTGGTTCTTGCTTCAGCACCGCCCACATTCGTGGTAAATTTTGCTGCAGGAGCTTCCTGGATGGAGGGCGGGTTGTTTTTCAAACTGTGGTTCGTTTTAGCACCGTGCGCATTCGTTTCACGAACTTGCAGAAGTTGTACGGATTCCCATGGTTAACGTACCAGAAACGGCTTTCTGGAGCGATTCTGGATTGTCAGGGCGCGCCAGTTACCTTGATTTGCGGTGTTGGAATCCCAGGAACGATGTTCTGGCAAGGTTCGGGGTCGCCAAGACGCAACAGTCAAGTTAGTTCGTGGAGTTGAAGTTCCGTGAGCGTTGTCTGGGCACGCTTCAGGGTCTTCAAACGGTTGTCTCCTAACGGGGCACTTTTTTCAGTGGGAATGAACCTTAGTAGAAGCCTATAGAGAGGGAGCTTGGAGGGAGGGTTTGCACTTGTCCTCTTTCTCCTCCTCCTCGGCTCGGCTCGGCTCGGCGATATCAAGGCCTGTACATAAGTGGCCTATTAACTCCTCCTCCTCCTCCTCCTCCTCCTCCTCCTCCTCCTCCTCCTCCTCCTCCTCCTCCTTCCTCAGTGCTCTCCACCCCCTCGTCCCCTATGGCGGCCCTCAAGCTGGCCTTGCCCTCCGCCTCCTCGGTCGGCTCCCCAGCGCCGTCCGCCAGCGGTCGCTGGCCGGCAGGCTGCCAGGATCTGTTCGGCCACCACTGCTTGCAGGGCGGCCGAGGGTTCCTGCCAGACGGCTGCGGCGTCAGCGTTGGGGCACGCTTGGCCCTCCGCGCGATCCAGGCGATCCAGGACCAGCTGCTCGGCGGCCTGGCCGATCCCGCCTCCCGTCTCCACCGCGGAGGGCGTCCCCGGCGGGTTGCGCTGGCGCCTTCCCCCGCTCCGCGACCTCGGCGGCCAGGCCCGCGTGGGTCGCTCTGGCCCGCTTCTCGCGCGGCTCGGCGGAGTGAGGGCTCGTGACCACGACGTCGACGAGGTGCTCCGTCTCCTCCTCCTCCTCCTCCTCGACCCTCTTGACAGCCAACAGCGCCACCTCCATGGGGTCCTGGCCGGTCGTGGGGTCACGGCGCCGCCGCGTCTTTGCGACACGGTCTGTTCGGTCCGCAACGGCCAGCGAACCTCTTGGCCAGCCAGCGCGCGAGCAGGTCGCGGGTCTGGTCGTGCCGGCAGGCAGCTGGTCGGATGGCGAAGTGTTGATCGGGCTCATGCAACGCTCCGCAAACCATTCTTTCGCGGGATCTGGTTTGACAGTGCGTCTGCGATGCATGCCCCGTCAGCAGCCGCGGAACCCCCATCTGGAGGCGACGTCGCAAGGAAAGTTGGTAGAGGTCGGGCGCCATCCGTTGCTCTGGGCCTCCGCTGGAGTGGAGGCGGCCGAGCGCGCGGTCATCGAGGTCGACCTTCGCCCGCGCCGTTTCTCCAACTCCTCCTCCTCTTCTTCCTCCTTCTCCTCCACCTCCTCATTCTCCTCCTCCTCTTCCTTCCCCCCCTCCTCCTCCTCCTCCTCCTCCTCCTCCTCCTGCTCCTCCTCTCCCTCCTCCTCCTCCTCCTCCTGCTCCTCCTCTCCCTCCTCCTCCTCCTCCTCCCCTCCTCCTCCTCCTCCTCGTCCTCCCTCCTCTCCCTCCTCCTCCTCTCCTCCTCCTCCTCCTCTCCTCCTCCTCCTCCTCCTCCTCCTCATCCTCCTCCTCCTCCTCCTCCTCCTCGCATCCTCTCCCTTCCCCCCCCTCCAGTTCCCCTCCTCCTCCTCCTCCTCCTCCTCCTCCTGCTCCTCGCATCCTTCCGCCCTCCTCGTGTCCTCGGCGCCCCTGGCCCTGCCAGGACCCCTGGCGGCCGGAGAGTGCCGCTAGACCTGCGCGCCACCGGCCGGGGCGCCGCGCCCAGGGAGAGCTGCAGGGGCCTGCCAGGGCAGCGACTGGCCGCTAGGGTCAGCCGCTCCCGGCTGGATTCCGCGCCGTCCCTTCCCCGCCTCCCCCCCACCTGATGGGCCGATTTCCACCACTGCCATAGGTAGGAGAGGAGGAGGAGGAGGAGGAGGAGGAGGAGGAGGAGGAGGAGGAGGAGGGAGAGGAGGAGGAGGAGGAGGAGGAGGGAAGGTAGACGTGGAGGAAGGAGGAGGGAGGAGGAGGAGGAGGAGGAGGAGGAGGAGGAGGAGGACCTCCCCATCCTCCATTCTGCCCCGCCCTACCTACGGTAGCTGTGGTGGAAAATTGGCCCATCTCCACCCGCCTCCGCCGTTCCCCCCCATCTCCTCGCAGGCGATGTCTCGACCCTGGTCCCCGAGGTCCGCCACCAGAGTTTGCCTGGGCCTCCCAGACGGGGTCGGGGGATCGCGCCGCACCGCAGATGCATTGACGATGCGGCTCGGTGTGGATCCCTTTTTTTCCCACGCCGACGTCGCCGATGCATTGGCCGACGTCGCCGATGCGTCGCCGACGCATTGGCGATGCATTGGCGATGCGGCACGATCCTCGGCGCCCAGTCACTCGGACCCCAGCGAGGAGGCCTCCACACCCGCCTCCGCCGTTCCCCTCCTCCCCTCGCATGCGACTTCTGCACCCCTGTCCCCGAGTTCCGCCAGAAGAGGTCGGCAGCTTTGGAGAGAGGGGGGACTCGGGGATGCACCTCCAGGCCGCTGTTCGGAGGCACCCCTGCCGGGGACGGACTCCCAGCGTCGTATATGCCAGAGTCTGCAGGGTCGGGGATGGAGTTAATCATATAAGAGGGGGCGGGCCTGCTCAGAAGGCTCGGAAGCCCCCCGGTCTTCTGAGAAGTTGTCTAAGCTTTTCCCGAAGCCGCAGAGAGCCTCTCAGAATGCCGGAGGGCTTCTGAGAAGCCCCGCCGCCTTCTCCTTCTCGCTTCCCCCCCCTCGCCCGCCGCCGGTCCGCGGGGCGGGCCGCCTGATCGGTGGGCCGGCGTGCATTTCCTTCCCGATTGGAAGAGCCGCCGGGCCTGCGAGCAAAAAGAACCCGTGCGGAGGCCAGGGCCGAGGATCGAGGCTTGAGCATCGCGGGGTCGAGGTGCTCACATTCCAGGAGAGGCCGATGATCGAGGGATCGAGATGTTCATGCTATAGTCAAGCAGTGGCGAAAGCGTCTTGGCTCGCCTATAGCCCTGCCGAACACTGCTGTGAGAACCTTTTGTGGTTTCCACGCAATGGTCTTGGTTCTGGCGGGGGCTGTCTTGTTTTCACACATAAGGCTTCAGCTCTACAAACACTGTTGTGTTCTTAGAACATTTCTGGGTTCTAAGAACATGTCGTGGTAGGACAATGGAAATGCCGGGACGGTCTGTCCCTGCTCAACATATCGGCACGAACGAAATGGGTACGGAAAGAATGGGTACAATGCCTAATAGCAGTTCCTGTTCATTTTGAACAGGACTCGCTGTTCGCGCCGCCGCGGCCTGTGACCATTTGAGACGGAGGCCGCCTGCCCAACAGCAGCCGCTGCTGGTCTGGATCAACACTTGTTCTTGGGCATTGTACCCATTTTTCCGTACCCATTTCGGGCGTCCAAAACATAGGCAGTTCTGCTCTGCATCGTGGGCGCCTTCCCGGCGCCACGGCCGAGCCCGCCGGGAGAGCTCCTGGCCAGAAGGCGCCCCTGCACAGACCCAGGGGGGTCGACTTGCACGGCCCCCCTCGCGCTGTGAGGAGGCTGCGGCCACGGCCGATAAGGAGACGCTGCACCAGGGAACAAAAAAGCCCAAGCAGTGGATGATTTGCTGTGGGATGCCTGCGAAGATCGACCGGGAGCCCGGGAGCCCAGGAGCCCAGAACCCACCGAAGTCGGCCCGGAACCGATGACCCAGAACCCGGGAATCCGGAACCGGGAACAGGGCCGGCCACCCAAATCGGCGGGAAATGGTCGCCGAGTCTGTCAATATCTGCTATAGAACCCCTTCAGTGCAAGCGCTGATCGGGGACAAGCTGCAAAAGCATAAACTTTTGGCGCTCCGCGCGGATCTCTTGGATCGGCGCCTGGGCCCCCGCGGCGGCGCCTCCAGGACTGCAGGGACCTCGCATCGAAAACCTCGAGACGCCGGATGTCTGGGGATCGAGGCTGAACAGAGACGTCTCGTCAGAGCTGTTCTTCGATCTCGACCTCTAGGGGTCCGTTCTGGGCCCAGTCGTCACAGATCGAGCCAGGATGAAGAACTGGCAAAGCATGCAGCCGAGGAGGGGTGCGGAGGCCGACCGGCTCGAGTCGAGCTACTTCGCATCGTCGAGTCTGGATCTGCGCGGCTCGTCGCGCAGGTTGCCGGCCACGATGCTCTGAGGGCCGTTCTTCTTCGGCGGCGTGGGAGGCCAAGGGCAGCGATGGACGGACTGATTGATTACAGTCGGGGCGCTGAAGAAGGAACCCTTTTCATTGGGGAGGGGCTCCGTGTTCCTTAATTGTTTCGCAGCTTGCCTTAGGTTTTCATTCGGTTTTCGATCTGAAATCGAAGTTTAACTTATGGAAAATAGGGGCCTCGCTCCTTATTGAGGGTTCCTTAGGTCAACGCCCCGACTGTATTGAGTTGCTGAGCTATGCTCCTGAGTCTCGTTTTCTGCCGACGTTCCGAGGGTCACTGTCGCCAGGCGTTTTTTTTTATCTGCGCATTCCGTTTCAGGGCTGGCCCTACGCCGCTCGGGCATTGCGTTGCGGCGCGGGGTTTGGGCCCGGCGGGAGAACATCATTCCCAACTAGGGGGCCACATGCGAACCCTACCCCTACCCCCCACGATTTTTGAGGGGGAGGGTGGGGTTCACTTCGCTCGGGAGCTCTCGAACGAAGTGAACCCCACCCTCCCCCTCAGAAATCGTGGGGGGTAGGGGTAGGGTTCGCATGTGGCCCTCTACCAACCCCACTCATCGCCTATGGTATCTTGGGCGTTGCGCCCTTCTTTGGAGCGCGCGCCTTGGATATCGGAGTCCCATCGCTGATGGATCTGAGGACGATGCATCGTCGACTGCAGCCAAGAAGTATTTGCAACCAAAGCGTATTTGGCGACGGTGCCGCCTCAGAATGCCCGGAGTGTCGAAACGATGAAGTTGGGGGATACTTTTTTTGACGACGGCGCCTTTGGGGAACCACCACGTGCCCTCGGTGGTCCTCGATCGAGATCTAGCAAGCAAGAGGCTTGCATAATGATCGCTCGCCGGCGAAAACCTGTGCCTCGCGTTGCTCACTTCTGCGTTGGCGTCGCACACGACTGCCCCACATAACAAACGTCTCGACATACGGTCGAGCATTTGATTAAGAAACCTTCTCTCGAACAGCTGGGCCAGCGCTTCTTGGCCAGCTTGCCGGAAAGCTGGCTCCGTTTCCTGAGCGCGCTCGCCCGTCCAGCGCTGACACGATAAAACTTGGCAAGGCTTGTCTCAAGACATTCCCGGAACGCTGGCCCAGGTTTCTGAAGGGATGATCTGCTTGATCCCACGAACGGCGAGCATATCCATATCCGCACCCTCGCGGTCTGGATTCCAGGGCGCGATCCCGTGGATACGCGGTCGCATGGGTACGTTCCGCGCGGAACATCCGGCGAACAGCTTCCCGTATCCATGGGATCGCGTCCCAGGGGCCCAGCTCGCGAGGCCGTGGACATGGATATGTTTCCCTCCCACGATGATCACAGTTCCAGAGCGTACGAGTGGGCCAGAGTCGGGTCGGGCGAAAGGGGGGGATTGTGAAAGGGGGGGTTACGAAATTTGCTGCACGCAGCTGGTTTCGGCCTCACCGAGGGGCCCATTCCTCGATACATTGCCGCCTGCGGCGCCGGGAGGCGCCGGGAAAATCAGCTACGAGAGCTGATTCTCAAACCGCCCCTTTGCTATCCCCCCCTTTCGCCCAGCCCGAGAGTGGGCCAGAGGCGCACCTTTCGGCTCCCCTCGTGGCTCCGCCCTCCGGCCTGCGGGGGGAGGCTCGGGTCCGGCGGGTCGAGCCGCACGCCGCGAGGGGGAGGCCTCTCGCCGCCCTCGGCGCCCGGGGGTGCAGGGCCGCGTCTGGGCCTCAGAGGGCCGCCGAGGAGCGCCACGCGAGGGGGAGGGCGAGAGCTCCCGGGGCGGGCGTTAAGTCGGGCCTGTCCCCCTACAGGGGGATCTTCGGCGAAAAATGAAAGATACCCCAAAAATAGTAAAAAGATAGTCCAAACATAGTCTGGGGACTATTTTGAATGTTTTTTTTTAGAACCTTTTTGGGGTATTTTGGTGTTTTTTTTCCTCCCCTTTTTCCTCGAAATCCCCCTGTAGGGGGGACAGGTCCGACATAAGGCTGGCGGCTCGAGCAGGTCGGGTCGTCGGACGGCCAGGCGAGGGTGCGGGGGAGAGGGGGACCGTGCCGCAGCGGGCCTGATCCCGTGCAGTCCTGGCTCTCAGGACGACCACAGGGCCACGGGGGCTGTGCTTCCCTGTCGAAGCACCTCGCACGCCTCCGGCATGTCCTCTCGCTTGGTTTCCTCAATGTCTCTGTCTGTCTCTCTTTCTCTCTCTCTTTCTCTCTCCCCCCTCCCTCTCTCTCTCTTTTTGTTCTCTCTCTCTCTCTCTTTCTCTCTCTCTCTCTCTCTCTTTTTGCTCTCTCTCTCTCTCTCTCTCTCTCTCTCTTTGCGAGTGTATAGCATCTGCCTTGGCTGCAACTCCCTGGAGGTTGAATTCACAATGGTCCTGGTTGTTCATTGCAGGCTAATTCATCCCAGTTCCGTTTATTCCCGCCCATTCTGGTGAAATCTTTTTTGCTTTATGACATAGTCAGACTTCAACAGCCTGCAATCGTGCTCCAAAGCCTCGATTCGCTCCCAGAATGGCCTCCCAGGAGTTGCCTACGAACTTTGCATCCTCCCTCGGCCCATCCCGCTCTGACATCAGCTGGCGGGAGCCCTTCTCGGGGGCTGCGTTTTCGTCCCGGCCTGGTTTTGTTGACGGCCCTGAGGCGAAACGGCTCTGCACGCCAAAAATTGCTAACTTCTGTCTTGATCGGACGGGGCTGGGACGAAGACAAACCCGTTCCAGAGCCGTCTGGGACGCTCCGAAACGGCCGCGGCGCCCGAGACGTCCCCCGACGCCGCCAGATCTCAGAGACTGACTCAGAGATGGTCGATTTGTCCTCGCCCGACTGTATCCTCGCCCTGGCTTCGTCTTCATCTTGATTCGGTCGGGCCCTGGATGTCTCGGCACCGGCCATGTCCCCGCAGCGAGCGCGCGACCTTCGCGCTCCTCTTGGCTCCTCCCTGGCCTCCCGGCCCTCGTGGCCCGCCCGGGGAGTCGCGCCAGGGCTCAGGCGGGAATCACGCCGAGCAGACCTTCAGAGGAAGAAAAGGTATCCCTTCGGTCGCAAATCATGGGTCGACTAGCGTCGATTGGTGTCGATTTAGGGTCGATTAGCGACATTCGGTTGCCCCGTCGGTTAGCGTCGATTTAGCGTCGACTAGCGTCGATTCGCAAGGGCCGACAAGATGGTAGGTGAGGCTCCCATGAGTTTCCGCCGAAGTACCCATAACCTCATGCAGCGATTAAGAACCCCCCTTCTGGTGAAACGATGCCGCATCCAGCACCCAGAAGCGTTACCATGGCGCCGAGGAGGAGAGGAGGAGGAGGAGGAGGAGGAGGAGGAGGAGGAGGAGGAGGCTCGTCGCCACCGCTGGATCCGCCCCTCAACATGTTGGTCAGAGCGCACCCCGGGAGAGGTCAGGGGATTAGGTGTATACCTTCTCCGTTTTCCCAGAAGCCGCGCCTGCGCACGGTCAAGATTCAGGAGGAAAAGAAACACACAGACACACTTAATCCTCGATCTCCCAGACCATATGGGAAAATATGGAAAGTGTGCGGGAAGACAGAAGCCCAGAAAATATAGGAAAATATGGGGAATCGTTTTATTTGTGTGTATTTATTGGTGTGTCCTGGGGCCCCTTCAAAGATGCGGAGA